GGTCTGAGGGCGAGCGTCAACGGGAGGGGTCTGCCCCCGTTTACCACAGTGCAGCAGTCCTCTCAGCCCCCTCTGCTGGAGGCTACTCGGCCTTTACTTGGCGACCAACCGTGCGGCCCGCGCCAACCCGCAAGTCCCCGCCAGACTTCCGTGCACCAGTTGCCGCCGCGCCCCGCGAAGCCATAGACGATTCCGGCGGCGGGCCCAACCAGTCGAATCAGTCGCAGAGCAGCGTACGTGAGCAGCACACTGAGCAGGAGCCGGAAGAGCCCGATGAGCAGGAGCTGCCGGCCGCCCACGGGGAGGGCGCGGAAGTAACGCCAGCGCAGAAAAGGGAGCGCGGGCAAGAACAGGAACAGACAACCACCCACCGCCTCACTCCACTGGCCGACACCACCTGCCCTGGCCCCTCCATCCCAGGCAAGGGCGCGAGCTCGAGTGCCGACGAGCGCCGGCAGTGCGGCCGGCACGTTCTCCCAGCGCGTCTTCGCGACAGCGGGTGGACGCCCCGCCTAGCGTCTGTGACTGGCCACCCTCCAGTCTCCCCGATGCCCCTGGGCCGAAACCTGGCCAGCGACGCCGACCGCGCTGGCGGGTCGGGTGGACGGCAGACGGCAGGCGGCGGACGCAGCAGCAGCAGCCGCAAAAGCAGCAGCAGGCGCCGCGCCGAGGACCAGCCGCTGACCACCCTGCCCCTGGTTGGGGGTCCCGCCGCGCGTCACTGTCCAGAACCCTTAGACCCAGACGCGGGGCAGCAGCTATATAAAACTAAGATCGGCGACATCCAGTGGGACCTCCCCGGGGAGACACCTGGCGAGGCGATCGGGCGGCTTCAGGCCTCCCTGGGAGCGAGGTTCACTGGCGCCTGGCACGCGTTCGCCCGGCAACACGCCTTGCCTAGCCGCAAGGGCTCGCTTGACCCGCGGCGGCACGACCAGCAAACGTGCGTCAACTTCCTGTCGTCCTTCCGCTTCCGCCTCAACTGTCACGTGCGGGCCGTGGACGACGCACTGGACCTCGGCGTTGACTGGACGCAGGTGCGGCTTCGGTACCTGGGTGAGTGACGGGCGGGCAGGGGGCGCCCGGCGGCGAAGGGCCACGCTGCTCGCCGCGCACCCATGACGGGCCAGGTGCCGTGGGTTGTCGTCACATAAGCTGCGGGCGCGCCCGCCCTTGCTTCACCTCCTTTCGCTCTGGCCGCTCCTCCTTCCTTTCGGCGTGTGGTTTGAGCCCATGCTATCACATTGCCTGTCGCCGGGGCTGTCGGCCACCACCTCGATTCCAGCGGGCGCTGCCCAGGCCGCGCCTTGGGCCTTAATCGCGGCGCGCTGCCGCCCTCCACCCGGTGCGCGCACCTCGTGCCTTTGGATCCAGGTGCGCGCTTCGGCAATACCGTCCACCGCCTTTCCGCAGTGGACTCGCGGCCTCAGGCCCTACTGTTGATATCTCACCGCCAGGCCTTCCTGGCCTGTGAGTGGGCTACGGCTCGCCTGTCCGCTGGCTTTTTCCCTGGACTTTCTAACCGAACGAACGGCCTTCCGCCGTCACCCTGGACCTTTTAAACAAGCAGCGCGGCCTTCCGCCGTCACCCTGGATCCACGTGGCTCTGAGGGACGCGTCTTGGGTACAAGGCGTTTTCGTCCCTCTGGTGCTAGACGACTCGGTTGGGTAGCGCCGGGGCACCTTAGATTTGCATGCTCCTCGGGGTCTGCCGTGTATCGTGCACTTCTACGCCCTTCCAGTCGTCGGATCTGGGCTGTCGCATCCCTGTTGTGGAAGGTACTCTTGTCATCATGCTCCACAGCCTTGATGCGCTTTCTTGCGTCGCGACTGGTTCGCCGTCAGCTTTTTCCGTGGACCTTTCTCCCCAGTCAGTCTGTGGTACCCGTCAGGCTCTCTGGATCGTTGTTTTCGGGAACTCTCAATGCTGGACGGCTTTCCGCCGTGACCCTGGATCAGTGGCTTTGACGGACTTGCCTGGGTATACGCGATCTCGTCCCGCGTGTGTCTTCCGACTCGTTCTGGACAGCACTGAGCAAACAAGCAGCACGGCCGCCGCGTCACCATGGATCCAAATGGCTCTGGGGGGCGCGTCTTGGGTACAACGCGCTCTCGTCCTTCTGGTGCTAGACGACTCGGTTGGGTAGCGCTGAGACACCTTAGTTTTGCATGCTCCTCGGGGTCTGCCGTGTATCGTGCACTTCGACGCCACTCCACTCGTCGGATCTGGGCTGTCGCATCTCAGTTGTGGAAGGTACTTTGGTCATCATGCTCCACACCCTGGATGCGCTTTCTTGCGTCGCGACCTGGTTCGCCGTCAGTTTTTTCCGCTGGACCTTGTCCCCAGTCAGTCTGTGGTACCCGTCAGGCTCCCTGGAACGGTGTCCTCGGGAACTCAACGCTGGACGGCTTTCCGCCGTGACCCTGGATCAGTGGCTTTGACGGACTTGCCTGGGTATACGCGGTTTCGTCCCGCGTGTGCTCTCCGTCTCGTTCTGGACAGCACTGATACACTGTGATGCGCACGCGCCGCGCTTCGAGCGTGTAGCGTGCATCAGGCGCCCTCCCACCCGCTGGGTCTGGGCTGAAGCATCTCGGTGTGGACGCTTCTTGGCAACATCTTCGCACTTTGATGCCGTTTCGGCGTCGCGGCGCGTTGCCGCCGTCGGGATCCCCGCTGGACTTACGTCTCCTTTCGTCTGTGCTACCCGTCAGGCTTGGGTCGTCGTCTTCGGGAACTTTCCAAACAAGAAGCACGGCCTTCCGCCGTCACCCTGGATCCATTGGCTCTGAGGGACACGTCTCGGGTACAAGGCGTCCTCGTCCCTCTGTGCTAGACGACTCGGTTGGGTATCGCTGGGCCACCTTAGATGTGCATGCTCCTCGGGGTCTGCCGTGTATCGTGCTCTTCTACGCCCTTCCAGTCGTCGGATCTGGGCTGTCGCATCTCAGTTGTGGATGTTTTTTCTTGTCTTCATGCTCCACACCCTGGATGCGCTTCTTGCGTTGCGACTGGCTCGCCGTCAGCTTTTTCCGTTGGTCCTTGTTCCCGGTCAGCCTGTGGTACTCTTCAGGCTCCATGGTTCGGTGCCCTCTGGACTCCCATTGCTGAACGGCTTCCTACCGCGACCCTGGATCAGTGGCTTTGCGGGACTTGCCTGGGTATACGGTCTCGTTCCGCCTGTGCTCTCCGTCTCTTTGGACTGCATTGTGGCACGCTGGTGTGCACGCGCCGCGCTTCGGCGGGTAGCGTGCATCAGGTGCTCTTCCACCCGCTGGGTCTGGGCCGAAACATCTCGGTGTGGTAGTCTTCTCGGAACATGGATACACCTTGATGTCGTTCTGGCGCCGCGGCTCGCTGCCGCCGTCGGGATCCTCGTTGGACTTACCACCCCGTCGTCTGTGCTACCCGACAGGCTGGGGTTGACGTCCTCGGGTCGTTCCCTTGTCCGCTCCTTGACGTTGGAACGTTTTCGCGCCATTTTGGCTGCGCTAGGTCGTCTCGGTGCCTACTTCAGGCCTGTTGGATGCACCTGCATGCCCGTTCAGGGGCAGTCATGGCACCTGGATTGCATCGGCTTCGCCCCCCTTGGACGCTGTCGTGAGCCGCCTGATCCGCGGCCCTGCGCGCGTTCGGTAATTTGGTCGCGTCCGCGGCCCGTTCGCGACCTTCCGCCGCTGGCGCTTCCGCTTGCGGCTGTAAAAAAAAAAGAAGTTTCCCCACCAGCCCATCCAGAAACGATGCCCAGGGGAGTTGAGATGTTCAGGGAAACGGGGGAGCATGCAGAATAACAAAAGGCGGCGGAAACTGTCACATACCCCAAGAGGGGGAGGATGGAGGAGGAATCGTCGTCGTCGTCGGAGGAAGAGGAGGGGGAGGAGGAGGAGGAGGAGGAGGAGGAGGAGGAGGAGGAGAGGAGGAGGAGGAGAGGAAGGAGGAGGAGGAGGAAGGAGGAGGAGGAGGAGGAGGAGGAGGAGGAGGAGGAGAGGAGGAGAGGGAGGAGGAGGAGATGGAGGGGAGGAGGAGGAGGAAAAGGAGGAGGAGGAAGAGGAGGAGGAGGAGGAGGAGGAGGAGGAGGAGGAGGAGGAGCAGGATAATGAGGAAATTGAGGAGATTGAGGAAGAGGAGATTGAGTAGGGCGAGGACGAGTAGGACGAGAAGGATGAGTGGGAGGAGGAGGAGAAGGAGGAGAAAGAGGATAAGGAGGAAAAGGGGGAAAAGGAGGAGAAGGGGAGGAGGAGGGGGAGGGGGAGGAAGGAGGAGGAGGAAGAGGTGGATGAGGAAGAGGAGGACGGCGAACCGAAGAGCCAACAGCTTCTTAAATGCCTTTCGGAGATCCTCTTGAAGCTTCTTGGGGCTCTCTTGGGAGCCTCTTGGAGGCCTCTTGGGCGCCTCTTCGGGCCGTCTGGGCGCCTCTTGGGGCCCTCTTGGAGAGCTCTTGGGATGCTTTTTGGGGCCTCTTGGGGCCTCCTGGGCGCCTGTTGGGGCCATCTTGGGGGAAGGCATCTTAGACTATCTTGAGCCATCTTGGAGATCATCTTGGGCTCTCCGAGTCGCTCTTGGAGCCGTCTTGGGCCATCTAGGACACCCCGACCGCTCGCGAAACGCCCCGTCCAGGTCCAGGGGGAGGGGGTATAGGGGGAGGGGCAAGCCCCCCCCGACGGGAAAGAGGGAGGGGTGGAAGAGGAAACGCTCTGGCCCACCTACGCCCAGAGGGCTGGCGGGATTCGGGTCTTCGAGCTGGGTTGCGGGCGGTCTGGTGGGCCGTCGGCGGCAGCACGGCGACCCTTGGCGTGGGCCGGGCTCCGACGGGGCGGGGCGGGCCCTCCTCCTCTACCCTCCTCTCCTCCCTCCTCCTCCTCCTCCTCATCCTCCTCCTCCTCCTCCTCCTCCTCCTCCTTCCTCCTCCTCCTCCTTCCCCTCCTCTCCTCTCCTCCCTCCTCCTCCTCCTTCCCTCCTCCTCCGCCTCCTCCCCCCCCTCCTCCTCCCCCTCGCACAGGTCGCGGCGCTCAGCTCGCGGGCCGAGGCGGTGCCCGGCGGCTTGTTCCGCCGAGGCCGTGCCTTTCCCCCTGTCTCGGCCCGCTCCGCCCTTCTCGCTCGGGGGCGGCCACGGCGTGGGGGTGAGGACGAGGGTCGGCGGCGGGAGAGGGGTGGTGGACATGAGGAGGAGGAGGAGGAGGATGGCCTCCTCGGCAGGCGGCGCGGCTTCTCCGGAGCCCTCACGCCCTCCGAGAAGCCGGTGCTGCCCTCGGGGAGGGTTCAGAGGCTTCTCAGAAGGCCGGGGGACTCCCGAGCCTTCGGAGAGGGCCTTCTCCTTCTCACTTGCCCCCCCCCCGCTCGCCGCCAGATCATGGCGGGGGCCGGGACAGCTCCCGGGACTCACATTGCCCCATTCTGAATCTCAGTGCGTGCTTCGGTTCCCCCCTCGTCCGCGCTGGTGCCTCCGCGGAGCCTCGGGCCATGACCTGCGACACCCCCTCCGCTTGTGGCCGCCCCTCTCGCGGCCGCACCCCCGACCCTCCTCGGAGGAAGAAGAGGTGCCGATAGCACTGCCAGCCTGGCCTCCTGTTCGCCTTTTTTGGGCCCCCCTGGGAGGCCCTCGTCGCCACCGCCAGGTCCGCTTCGAAGTTCTCGTGAGGACGGCCCGGGAGATGTCTTGGGAGCAGCGGCATCGATACCTCTTGGTTTGCCCATCTCCCTCTCCCTCCCCTCCTTCCCAGGCCTCTGGTCCCAGACCCCGACGTTTTTTTTTTTTTTTTTTGTTCCCCCCCCGTTTTTTTCTTTTTTCATCACGTCGACCCCCAGAGGTCTGCACCCATTCCCAGGGACCAGTCTTTCGTCCGGAGCCGTGTTCTGACGGTCCCGAGGCCCGGTTGGGGCCCCCCCAGGGGCCGAAAATAGCGAAAAGCCTACCGTCGTGATTCTTTCGTCACTCCAGTCGGGCCGGGCGAAAGGGGGGGATTGGGAAAGGGGGGGGGTACGAAATTTGCTGCATGCAGCTGGTTTCGGCCTCACCGAGGGGCCCATTCCTCGATACATAGCCGCCTCCGGCGCTGGGAGGCGCCGGGAAAATCAGCTGCGTGAGCTGATTCTCCCCCCCCCCCTTTGCTATCCCCCCCTTTCGCCCGACCCGATCCAGGGGGCTTGGGGAGGGGGGGGGCCGACGTTTTCGGGCTCCCTCGTCGGCTCCCAGGTGTTTTTTCCGTTCCCGGCCTCGGGGGGGGCTCTCTTGCAGCCGTGCGCCGCCGAGGGCCCAGTCCGGGGGGGGGTGGCCCAGAGCGTCCCTTGCGGCCGTCGCAGGCCCGCTAGCGGTACCCGTCGGTCGTTCATCCCTGTCAAAAAAAACAATGCAGAGTACACTTGGCGGCGACGGCGGCGGCGGCGGCGGCGGCGGCGGTGGCGGTGGCGGTGGCGGTGGCAGCAGCGGCTGCGGCAGCAGCGGCTGCGGCGGCGGCGATTTGGCGGCGGCTGCGGCGGCGGATTGGCCCCCAGTAGCTGCCCATCCAAAGTTCTCGGGCTCCCTCGTCGGCTCCCAGAAGGTTTTTTCCTTTCCCAGCCTCGAGGGGGGCTCTCCTGCAGCCGTGCGCCGCCGAGGGCCCAGTCCGGGGTGGTGGTGGCCCAGAGCGTCCCGAGCGGCCGTCGCAGGCCCGCTAGCGGTACCCGTCGGTCGTTCATCCCTGTCAAAAAAACAATACAGAGTACACTTGGCGGCGGCGGCGGCGGCGGCGGCGGCGGCGGCGGCGGCGGTGGCGGTGGCGGCAGCGGCTGCGGCAGCAGCGGCTGCGGCGGCGGCGATTTGGCAGCGGGAGCGGCGGCAGGGGCGGCTGCGGCGGCGGCGGCAGCGGTGGCGGCGGAGGCGGCGGCGGCGGCGGCGGATTGGCCCCCAGTAGCTGCCCATCCACAGTTCTCGGGCTCCCAGGAATTTTTCCCCTTCCCAGCCTCGGGGGGGGCTCTCCTGCAGCCGTGCGCCGCCGAGGGTCCAGTCCGGTGGGGGGGTGGCCCAGAGCGTCCCGAGCGGCTGTCACAGGCCCGCTAGCGGTACCCGTCGGTCGTTCATCCCTGTCGAAAAATAAAACAGAGTACGCTTGGCGGCGGCGGCGGCGGCGGCGGCGCGGCGGTGGCGGCAGCGGCTGCGGCAGCAGCGGCTGCGGCGGCGGCGACTTGGCAGCGGAGATCGGCGGCGGCGGGCGGCTGCGGCGGCGGCGGCAGCGCGTGGCGGCGGCGGCGGCGGCGGCGGAGGCGGCGGCGGATTGGCCCCCAGTAGCTGCCCATCCACAGTTCTCGGGTTCCCTCGTCGGCTCCCAGGAGGTTTTGCCCTTCCCAGCCTGGGGGGGGCTCTCATTGCAGCCGTGCCGCCGCCGAGGGCCCAGTCCGGGGGGGGGGGGGGGCAGAGCGTCCCGAGCGGCCGCCGCAGGCCCGCTAGCGGTACCCGCGGTCGTTTCATCCCTGTCAGAAACAATTCAGAGTACACTTGGCCGGGCGGCGCGGCGGCGGCGGCGGCGGCGGCGGCGGCGGCGCTGCGGCGGCAGCGGCGGCGGCGGCGGCGGCGGTGGCGGTGGCGGCAGCGGCTGCGGCAGCAGCGGCTGCGGCGGCGGCGATTTGGCAACGGGGGCGGCGGCGGGGGCGGCGGCTGCGGCGGCGGCAGCGGCGGCGGCGGCGGCGGTGGCGGTGGCGGCGGCGGATTGGCCCCCAGTAGCTGCCCATCCACAGACGACCGACTGCTGAATATGCTGGGGCTCGGGGCAGACTCGGGTGCTACGTATGTGTTGGGAGGGCGGGTGGGAGTGAGCGAGACGGTTTGCGGGCGGGGAGGGAGTTTCGACCCCTTTCGCTTTGGTTTCGCTGTAGCTGGCTCGCTTTATAGGAGGAGGGCCAAGTCGAAGGGGAGGGGAGCGGTGACGGGCCCAGGGAAAGGGGTGTCAGACGCGACGGCGATGGCGACGACGACGACAAGGGTGACGACGACGACCACGATGACGATGACGGCGACGGTGACGCCGACGGCGAAGACGGTGACGACGACGACGACGGCGACGACGACTTCGAGTCAAACAGAACAGCGTCCTCCACGCGCCGACAGGGTCGGCGGACTGCCTTGTTAACACCCCCCCGCCTCGCTTTCAGATCCAGGCGGCGCAAGCAATGGCGACAGTCGGTTCTCGCACGTGGTGGGCCTCTCGGGAGGGCGTCCGTCCGGCCCCGTGGCCGTCAGACAACGATTCAGGGTGAAGAGCCGACCTTTGGGGAAGGGGCGAGATCCCCATGGGGGGGGGGGGGGCAAAACCGCGTCGTCGGAGCAGAGTGTGGTCGGACACTGGCCGACAGCGGCCGACGCGCACGGAGGTGCTGGCCGCCTCGCGCCCCGTCTTGCGGCGGCCGAGCACTCGTCGTGTGCTGTCGCCCCTGCTCCCCAGGCGTTCTGCCGCTGCCCCCATCCACCCCGCAGGGGCAACGTGCTGCCGCACTCTCACGACGCGGGCGGTGGAAACGACTTGGGGCTTCGGAGGTGAAGCAATCGTAGGCTGTGTTCGCCAGGCCATCCGTCCCTTGGCCAAGCCCATAACGGGCCCAAAACAGGTGTTTTTTTTTTCAGCTTGGCAAGCAGCCAGATGCCGGTCCTTGGCCCCGGGGGGGGGGCCCAGCCAGGTTGGGCGCTGTTGTAAGCTTGGCGTCCTTCCAGTCATCTTCTTGGGACGGCGGCCAGACGCCTGAAGCAGTGGTGAGCATGAAGTTGCATGTAAGATCTCTTGGCGCGAGGCAGGCAGGGTGAGCTGATGGACGGGATGCGCGCATGAGGCTGGGCATGTGGATTTTTTGCGGGGGGGAGCGGGGGGGGACGATCTCGGTCAGCTTATCTCAGGCGATCGCAAACATGGACCCAGGGGGCGTGGGTTAGCGGCGGGTCCTGTTTCCACGGGGAGCCGCGGATTTCCGCCGCCGAGCGAGGCGGCACTGGCCGCATTTTGGGGACGGCACCTCCCCCGATCCACGGATGTGGCGACCACGCGCCAAACCCGTGGATCGCCAATCCATGCCTGCGCGCCCCCGATCATCGTGGGGATCCGTGCTCAGGGGAGGCCGAGCGCGCCTTCGGAACAGGGAGCAGACGCCCCCATCCCCAAGGGGCGGCCCCAGGGCCCACCCGCCGGGACGCCCACTGGAGGCCAGCTCTTGGTGCACACCGCCTCTGGAGCCGTGGCCGCTGCGGCCCCTCGCGGGGTGTGTGTCGTCCTGGGGGTCACGCCTGGGCCCTCCCAAGGCTAAGATGCCATTCCTGGGATGCTGCACTCAGAATCTGCGCTGGTACATCCCTGGCCGAAGCGTGCCGAGTCTCGCTAAATGCCGCATCAGGTTTAGTCCAGCTTGATCAGGCGTAATACCGCTCCATCCGGCTTGATCCAGGCGTGATCAAGCCCCATTGGGCTCGATGGCCCACTAATCGGGTGCAATAGCCCTTGATCGTTCTGACGACTCCAGCCCGTCTGGCAGACTGGAGCCCCAAAGGTGTACGTCTCACCGGGCGCCCCCGCAAGCGCTGGCAACATCAACTTTGTCCACGAGGCCGGCGTGCCCGACGCCTCCCTGGGCACGGGCGCGGCCCCCCCTCCCCCGCAGCGCTCCCTGCATCCTGCATCCTGCAATCGTTCCGACGACGACCTCCCAGGAGTTGCCTCCCGATCAGGGCTCGGGGATCTGACATATCCCTCCTGTGCCGAGGGCGCGAGCGCCCCAGGCGCACCACACGCCGGAGCAGCAGGGCCCCTGTGAGCCCGCCTCCGCCGCGCGGCCTCTGAGAGCGCGCCGCTTCGCTCGCCGGCATGTTTTCTGCGCGAGGCCTCTCCCAGCGCCCGCGCACGACCATTTTCGGGCCGTGGGCCTCGAGCTGCTTGTGCCGCAGGGCGGCCTGCTGCCGCACAGTGGTGCCGCCGCTGCGGCTGGCACTGCAGAGACAGCGTGCGGCTCGGCGCCGCCGGCGCGCTTTGTGCTGCCCCCGCCATCCCCCCCGCTCTGGGGGCGGCGTGCACCGCAGAAGCCCCTGGTGAGGGGGGGGGTTGTGCACAGAGGGAGCCCTCGCGGGGGGGCACCGCCTCACGGGGGCCAGCGTGCCCTGCGGGGCTCGAGGCCGCACGCTGCTTCTCCAGCGCCAGCCGCACGCTGCAGAGCCACCGTGCCACCACGGCGTGCGCCGGGCGGGGAGTGAGAGCCGCTTCTCCGGCCACGGTGGGCCTCTTGGCCACGAATGGGGCCCATTGCCCTATAGAGATTTGTGTCGGCAGCGGCCTGGGCAGCGGAGCGCTCCTCCTGAAGCCCAGAGCCTGGCATCGCTCGGACGTGTGCATGTATTCCTCTGCGAGGACCATCGAGGAGCATCCTGGATCATGTGGCGAGAAAGCCACGCACGAAACCATGAAAAACACAGGAGATGGACGTCCGAGCGATGGCCAGAGAGTGGCCCTCTTGTCTCGGGGCCTTGACCTGTCATTTGCCCCGCCCCGCTGAAAGCTGCAGCCGACCGGCGGGGCCGCTGGTCGGCAGGATCGAGATGGGTACGGCAAGAACAGGTACGATCGCTCGACAACAGTTCTTGTCCATCGTGATCCGGATTCGCTGTCGGTGTCGTCGCAAGAGTTGTGCATTTGAGACAGAAGGCCGCCTGCTCAACCGCGGCCGCTGTCGGCGTTGGACAGCATCTGTTGTTGGGCATCGTCTCCTGTTTTGCCGTACACATATCGGGTGTCCAAGGGTATAGGGTCGTGGCCCCGTGTTTTACGATGCACCGTCTCTGTCACGCGCCGCATCGGGCGACGTCAACTGAGCACCTCACGGGTCCCGGTCGACCTAGTCCTGGGCCCGGAGTGGGCCCACGTGTCTCTCTGGCGATCACCGTGAGGGTCGGCGTCAACCCAACATATTTATGCTATGTGCGTCGCCCCCCCAGGGGCGCCGCGCGCACCGAGACATCTTATAGTATATGCGTCGCCGCGGGCGCTTTCTGGCCACACCGCTCGGGAAACGAGATACTACAAGGTGGGTATACTATATCTTCGGGTCGGACGCCTGCCTCCAAGGAGGACATATAGGACTAGGATGTCTCTCTGGAGATCACCTTGGGGGCGCTCGCGCCGATCCCGTGGCCCAGGTTGGGCCTGGCCAGCTGGCGGTGGTGGGTTCAGTTGACGCCTGCTGGCTGGCGAGGTTGTGCACGCTGCGTAGGTCTAGGCTTACGTCGGGCATGTCTCTGCACAGGAGGAATATCCAAAAGTAGTCAAAGCATAGTCAGGGGATTCTATTCCTCTTCCTTTATTTTTGCAAGCCTGGGGGGGGGGGGGAACCCGCATGTGGGCCGAATCCCAACCAACTGGGCCCAATCCCAACCAACTGGGACCAATCCCAACCAGTGCGAAAAGCAAACTGGGCTCAATCCCAACCTGCTTGGGACAGCCTCACAATAAGGTTTTAATTGTAGAGAAGCCCAAGACGACTGTGAGGACCAAGTGACACTTCTTATGTCAACGCAGAGGTTCTGGAAGCCAACATATGTGCCAGAGTTCGAATTGGTTTCAGTTTGGTCTGCGCACGAGCATTATTCTAAGATGAGCAAGAGGGCACCGAAGCGTAAGCAAAACCGCACCGAATTGCATCGATTCTAATATGCAAAATGGATCCTCCTAGTAGTAGTAGTAGTAGTAGTAGTAGTAGTAGTAGTAGTAGTAGTAGTAGTAGTAGTCGTAGAAGTAGCCGTAGTCGTCGTCGTAGTACTAGTAATAGTACTCGTAATAGTAATAGTAATGTAATAGTGATAGTAATAGTATTAGTAATAGTAATAGTAATAGTAATAGTAGTAGTAATCGTAATCGTACTAGTAATAGTAATAGTAATAATAATAGTACTAGTACTAGTACTAGTAATAGTAATAGTAATAGTAATAGTAATAGTAATAGTACTAGTGATAGTAATAGTAATAGTAATAGTAATAGTAATAGTAATAGTAATAGTAATAGTAGTAGTAATGGTAATAGTAATAGTAAAAGTACTAGTAATAGTAATATGAAAAGTATTAATACTAGTAGTCGTACTAGTAACTGTAATAGTAATAGTAATGGTGATAGTAGTAGTAGTAGTAGTAGTAAGTAGTAGAGTAGTCGTAGTCGTAGTCGTAGTCGTAGTCGTAGTCGTAGTAGTCGTAGTCGTAGTAGTAGTAGTATCGTAGTAGTAGTATAGTAGTAGTAGTAGTATAGTAGTAATAGTAATAGTAGATAGCAGTAGTAGTAGTAGTGGTAATAGTAATAGTAATAAGTAGGTAGTAGTAGTAGTAGTAGTATTAAGTCGTATTCGTAGTCGCCCGCAGTAGTTAAGTCAAGTTTAAAGTAAGTAATAGTAGTAGTAGTAGTAGTAGTAGCAGTAGTAGTAGTAGTAGTATTAGTAGTAGTAGTAGTAGTAGTACTAGTAGTAGTAGTAGTAGTAGTAGTAGCAGCAGTAGTAGTAGTAGTAGTACTAGTAGTGGATACGGTGGTAGTAGTACTCGTAGTAGAAGTAGTCGTAGTCGTAGTCGTAGTTGTAGTAGTCGTACTCGTAATAATGGTAATGACAGTAGTAGTTGTAGTAGTAGTCGTAGTAGTAGTAGTAGTAGTAGTAGTAGTAGTAGTAGTCGTCGTAGCCGTAGTCGTAGTCGTAGTAGTAGTAGTAGTAGTAGTAGTAGTAGTAGTAGTAGTAGTAGTAGTAGTAGTGGTGGTAGTAGTATTAGTAGTGGTAGCAGTAGTATTAGTATTAGTACTATTAATCTCTTATTATTCAATCGCTTCGCTCATTCCGCCGGCCCATGTTGCATGATCGCTACTGCTTCGCCGTGGGCCCGGGGCCATTGTGGCGCCGCCGAGGAGGAAGAAGATGAGGATGGGGAAGGGGAGGGGAGGAGGAGGAGAGGATGAGAAGGAGATGAGGAGGATGAAGATAAGTAGGAGGAGGAGGAGGAGGAAGAGGGAAGGGGCGGAGGAGGAAGCCTCTCGTTGGCATCTTGTGTTGCTCTTGGGGCCAAACAGGGTCGTCGTCAAGATGCTTCTCTGGGAGGCCTCTTGGGGTCTTTTCAGAAGCCGTTCGAGGGCGCCTGGGAGGCATTTTTGAAGTCTTCTGGGGGGCCTCCTGGGGGCCTCCTGGGACCTCTTGGGGGCCTCTTGGCGGCATCTTGGGGCCTCTTTGGGGCCTCTCGGGGCCTCCTGGGGCCCTCTTGGGGCGGAAGGCTCGAGGTTTTGGTTCGTGGTCCCCCTCTTGGGCCCCTCTTGGGGCCGTCTTGGGGCCGTCTTGGGCCGTCTTGGGCGCCTCTTGGGTTGTCTCGGGGCCCTCTTGGGCCCTCTTGGGGCCCTCGTGGAAGCCTCTTGGCCCGTCTTGGGGTGCTCTTGGGGGCCTCCTGGGCCGTCTTGGAGCATCGGATGGCCGAAAAGGGGACAAGGCCCTAATTCTTTCAAAACCATCGTAAAATGTCTGATTTGGGCCTCTCAGGGCCCTCTTGTGAGGCCTCTTGGAGGCCACTTGGAGGCCTCTTGGGCCGTCTTGTGGTCATCATCGGCGTCTTGGAGCGCTCTTTAGGCGTCTCGGGGGCCCTTTGGGCAGTCTTGGGGGCCTCTTGGGGCACTCTTGGCGCGCTCTGGGGGGCCTGAGAAGCCACACCCAGGAGGAAAACCATCTCTGAGTAGCAGTGGTCGGGCGGCGGTCGGGGTACTTTTCGCTGGGGGACCCCCAGGGGCGCCCCGCGCGTCTTTGGGTGTTTTTGGGGGCCTCCTGGGCCGTCTTGGAGCATCGGATAGCCGAAAAGGGGACAAGGCCAAAATTCTTTCAAAACCATCGTGAAATGTCTGATTTGGGCCTCTCAGGGCCCTCTTGTGAGGCCTCTTGGAGGCCACTTGGAGGCCTCTTGGGCCGTCTTGAGGTCATCATCGGCGTCTTGGAGCGCTCTTTAGGCGTCTCGGGGGCCCTTTGGGCAGTCTTGGGGGCCTCTTGGGGCACTCTTGGCGCGCTCTGGGGGGCCCGAGAAGCCACACCCAGGAGGAAAACCATCTCTGAGTAGCAGTGGTCGGGCGGCGGTCGGGGTACTTTTCGCCGGGGGACCCCCAGGGGCCGCCCCGCGCGCGCGAACTAGAAGTATTGTTTAGCAGTTACCGGAGATCCTAGCACGCCTTTGGCCCGTTGGGCCGGCGAATTACTAGTAGTAGTAGTAGTAGTAGTAGTAGTAGTAGTAGTAGTAGTAGTAGTAGTAGTAGTAGTAGTAGTAGTAGTAGTAGTAATAGTAGTCGTAGTAGTCGTAGTAGTCGTAGTAGTCGTAGTAGTAGTAGTGCTGGTGGTGGTGGTCGTAGTAGTAGTAGCAGTAGTAGTAGGTGGTAGTAGTAGTAGTAGTAGTAGTAGTAGTAGTAGTAGTAGTAGTAGTAGTAGTAGTAGTAGTAGTAGTAATTAGTAGTAAGTAGTAGTAGTAGTAGTCGTTGGTCTTGGTCGTAGTCCAAAGTAGTACAGGTATACTGGAAGTAATGGTTAGAATAATGGTAGTAGTAACTTGTAGTGGTAGTAGTAGTGGAATTAGTATCGTAGTAGTAGTCGTAGTAGTAAGTAGTAAGTAGTAGTAGTATGTAAGTAGTATAGTAGTATTAGTAAGAAAGTCGCCAGTGGTGGTGGTAGTAGGTAAATAGTAGAAGTAGTATAGTAGTATATTAGTAGTTAGTAGTATTAGTAGTAGTAGTTTTCAAAGCAGTAGTAGAATTAGTAGTAGTGTATATTATTAG